GGAAACGATGCTGCCACATTCGGTCTTCAGCTTTGACAGTTGGCTCTTTCTGGCAGACAGATCTCTGGCAAAGACTTTGGAGCCTTGGTTCCGCTCGATCGCTTCTTCAATACGAGCTGTATTAAAGTTGCGTAAGTCCCGCCACATGCATTTGGAGATCTGTCTGTTCAGTTGCCTGTATGCTGTCAAATCTGTTGAAGAATGTAGCTTCATCTCCCGTCTAACAGCCATGAGATTAAGAGTGTGATCGGAGAGTTTTTGTGTTCTTCTGCGGCGGGTCTTGCAGAACTTAGCTCCGACCGCATGGACAGTTTCCACGAGCTTGTCATTCAAATCGTCCACTTCATTGCAGTCTTCTAGGCACTGAAAACGGTTTTGTAACTCGAGCTGAAAGGTTTCGGGACTTTGGATTAGAGCACGAGGGGGACGGAGCGTTGACTTCATTAGACGAGACCTCTCTCCAACTTAACGTTTAGGTTCAGTGTGCCTCTAACCATTCGGTGATCGCTGCCGGTTTTCATCCTCGCGATCACTGAGACATCACTGAACAGTTGTCGTCTGGTCGTCGTAATGAAGTTAATCTTATTTTTTGTCGAACCGTCGGGGCTCGACCAGGTCCACTTCCTGTGGGGCCGCTTCTGGAAGAAAGAGTTCGTCATAAAGGGTCCCTCTTTCTCCATGAAGTCGGCCAGCTGCTGGCCCCTTGGGTTCCGTTGCCCTATTCCAAATTTCCCCACTTTCAGCTCACCGTTCTCTCTTGTGCCTAGTTTTGCATTGAAGTCTCCCATTAACACCGTATATTGGGTTTTGGAGGAATGCATGGCTCTAGAGATATCCTCATACATTTCCTCCACCTCCTGATCGGGGTGTGCCGAGGTTGGTGCGTAAACCTGTATGACCTTCAGCGAATACCGTTTGGTGATTCTGAGTATAAGGTACGCATCCCTCGTCGACACACTCTTAATCTTTACAACGTTGTTAACGAGAAACTTGTGGACGATAAATCCGACACCTCCTTGGGACAGATGGTCGCCCTCCCGGTAATAGAGCAAGTTTCCGGATTCGAGGATTACCGTGTCCTCCCCCTCTCTTCGGACTTCGGATAATCCTATAATATGCCAGCGTAACTTGTCTATCTCTTCTTCCAGCTCCACAATCTTCTCGTCAGTCCTCAGGGTGCGTGCGTTGTATGTTGCCAGGTCAAGTCGTCGTAGGTGGCAACCGAACCTCCACCGGAGATTCTTAGCAATACTCAATACTCAATACTCAATAACTTTATTGCATTCCATAGGTTACAAAAGGTGTTACATAGTTTTATGGTATCTCAATGGGCCCTGATGGGCACAGCAATATTATGAAGGAGGAACATTTATTATTATAATTATTGCTATTTTTAAATAATTATTTAATATTAACATTTATTCTATTATTTAAACATACACACAATGAATTTTAAATACGGTTATTTTAATTGTTATAATTTATTAATGAATTGATTTTGACATTTAAGGTATTATTATAATTGGTGTAGTTAGCATAGTTGAATTTTTATTAAATTATTTGAATCATTTTAAATTTTATTTAAATTTTTTATTGTAATTTATTTAGTAGAATGGCATTTCATTATTACCTAACATATTTTTATTTACATATCCATATTATATTATATTTTTATCATCTAAAAATTCAGAAGTATTATAGTAACACTTATTTATAAGCAGTTGCTTTAATTTTTTTACGAATTGTTTTTCGTCCTTAATGCTTTTTATATATTCGGGTAATTTATTATATATTTTTATAGACATGACGAATGGGCTGGAAGAATGAGATTTTAGTTTTGAAATTGGCAGCACTAGTTTGTTTCTCTGTCTTAGATTACTAGACATGATGTCATCTCGTTTTGTGTAGAAACTTGGATTTTTTTTGACAAATTTGCATAGTTCCAAAATATAGATAGAGGGCAGGCTTAAAATGTTATACTTCTTGAAGTAAGGCTTACAGCTTTCTGTGTTTTGTATATTAGCTATGATTCGTATTAGTTTTTTTTGTTTACTTAATAGACTTGGGGCATCAGTACTGCCTCCCCATAGGACAATGCCGTAGCTGAGCCATGCATGTGCATACGCGTAGTAGGTTGTTATCGCGGTGGTTATATCTGTTGTTTTTTTTACTTCTCGTAATGCGTACATAAAAATGCTTAACTTTCTATGTAATTTTTCTATGTGTGGTTTCCAAGTAATATGGGTATCTATTATTAGGCCTAGTAGTGTGTGCTCGTTAACAGTATCTATAGTGAAGCCGTCATTATTTAATTTTATATCTAATTTTGCTTTTTGATATGGGTGAAAAGACATTATTTTAGTTTTTGATAAGTTTATCCGCAGGTTATGTTTAGTTAGCCAGTCTGTTGTTTTGAATAATATGCTGTTAATTTTTTCTGTTAGATTTAGTGGACTTTGGCTTGATATAAGAATAGAAATATCGTCCGCGAACATGACACAGTGTTCGTTCAGGGTTTCTGCAAAGTCATTAATGTAAATTAAAAACATAAGACACCCCAGCACGCTGCCTTGAGGTATTGAGGCTTTAATAGTTTTAGTATCGGATCTAATTTTTTCAATTTTGTGTAATTTATCATTGAAATACTCTATTTCTACTATTTGCGTTCTATTGTGCAAATATGATTTTAACAAATTGTAGCACGGGCCTCTGATTCCTATGTCATATAATTTATTTAATAATATGTTATATTGCACTGTATCGTATGCTTTTGACATGTCTAGTAGTATTCCTATAGCATATTTTTTATCGTTAATTATATCATGTATTTTTTGAATGTAATTGTAAATTGCTAAAACTGTTGATTTGTTTTTACGGAAACCGTTTTGACTTTCACTAAAGATATTATATTTTTCACAGAATTTATAGATACGATCGTATAATGCTTTCTCAAATATTTTGGAAGCTGTGGGTAGTAAGGCAATAGGTCGATAGTTGTCTGGGTCCGTTTGTGTACCTTTTTTATAAATGGGTTTCACGAGTGAACTTTTTAGTATATCTGGGAATACGCCTTCTTCAAAAGATTGATTTACCAGTAATGTTAATGGATATACTAAAGCGCTCGCACACTGTTTGAACAATGTTGGAGGAATCTCATCAACACCATAGCTTAGTTTATTTTTTAGACTTTTTAATATTTTAAGTATTTCTTCAAATCCTACTCTACTTAGAAATATTGAGTTTTCTGATGGACGCAGAACAGGAAGACCCTTTGCTCGTGGATGAATTGTTTCACCAATATTGGTGAAATAATCATTAAATTTATCGGCAATCTGTTTTGGGTTGGAAGAAATTTGGTTGTTGACATTCAATTTAATATTTGATTTAACCTTTAAATTCATTTTGTTTGTGCGTTCTCGGACAATATGCCACATTGTTTTTATTTTATTATCAGACTGCTTTATCTTGTTTATATAGTGTAATTTTTTCGACGTTGTTATAACCTTTTTTAATATTTTTTCATATTTTTTATAATAATCTGTAAGAATTTTATCATTTGACCTTATAATGTGCGATTTGAGTAATCTTTTGTTATAACAAGACTTTTTTATACCGACGGTAAGCCAATGTTTTTTATATTTGTTTTTTATTTTTATTACTTTTTTTGGTATACAATTATCTAGAATTTTAATCACAGTTTGATGAAATATATAATAGTTATAGTTTATGTCTTTATTCTTATTAAGTATGTTTTCCCAATCAAGCGATTCCAGTGCAAGTTTAAAATTTGCTATATTGTTTTTGTTATATTGTCTTTTTTCGGTGTACCATATTTTTTGTTTATTTTGTTTAGAAAGATTCAGATGGATTATAGTAGCCCTATGGTCAGACAGACCCAATTCTTGCACAGTTGTTTGTATGTTTGCATCGTTAAAGTTTAAATAAATTAAATCTAAGCATGTTGAAGTTGTTTTAGTGACACGTGTAGGACTGTGGATTTGTTGGTGAAAGTTATATTGGAGCATTAAGTCTGAAAGCTTATTTCCTTTATTTCTTTTTGATGTGTCGTTTTTTATATTTTTTTGTAGCATGTCGATATTAAAATCTCCCCCCAGTATGATTTTATGTTTAGAAAATTTCTTATTTATGTAATCCAGAATAGTTTTTATTTTTTCGTAAAATAAATCTTCCTTCTTCCCATTATAGTACAATGTTAACAATATAGTATTATATTCTATAAGCTCTACTGCACAAATTTCCACTACATATTCAATGGACATATTGGAAATTTCTTTTAATTCTAAATATTCTATGTCGTTTTTCAGTAGGATGCAGACGCCGCCTCCGGTGCGCGATGTTCTACAATACGATGCGGCTACTTGATAATCGGTTAAATGTATCAGTTCAAGTTTTTCCGTAGATAGCCATGTTTCAGTAAAGCATAATATCTGGTAATCGGGATTACTTTGTACAAATTCTTCTAATATATCTATTTTATTGTAGATGCTCTGAATGTTCTGGATGAGTATTTTGTCTTGTAAGTCCTTGGTTTCGAAAAAAGGATTTATTGATACTTTTGTCATGTGTATCTTCGTTATCTATATCTTTGTTATTTGTTGTATTTGTATTCCATAGTACCTTTTTTCCTTCTACGTATAGGTTATCATCTTTTATCACAGCATATAATCCCTTTTGTCTCGCTTTAAACATTTCTTCTCTTAGTAATTTGTTGTGTTTTTGTGTAATATCATCATAGTACTTAGATATGGCTAATCCAGATTTTTTGAATAAATGTTTATGATCGATTAGGTATTTTGTCATCTTTTTACTTATCAATTCAATAACGAGGGGTCTAGTATTATTCCTATGTTTACCTAGTCTGTATGTGTCTTCAATATAACCGGTGAGATCCACATTCATAATGTCTCTGAATATGTTTACAATTCTGTTGCATAAGCTGAAATCATTTTCATTGTGTTGTTCCATTAGTTTATAAAGTACTATTTTTTTTTTGAGTTTATTTCAGGTATTCTAAATTTGTTCTCAATCTTTTTACTTAGTTGTTTTATGTCTTCTCTTAGTTTTCCATTTTCTTTTGTAATTGACTCTATTTTTAAGTTCAGTTGGCAAATCTCGTCTTTTCTTTGTTTATTTTGAAAACTTAGAATTTCTGTTTTTTGCTGAATATCTTCTTTTAATGATATAATGGCTTTATTAATTTCTGAGTGAATTGTACTTTGCAGCTCATTTATTAGTGATCTATTATTTTCTTTTAACTTTTGTTGTATTATTACACTTAGAGTTTGCAGTAAAATTTCATCAGATTTTGCATTTAGGTTTGGGGAGGTCTGAGTAATAACAGTATCACCTAATAGCTCAATATCCACCGAATCACTAGTGTCATTGTGCATATTATTTGGGGATCTTCTTAATGTAATGTTGTCTCTATCAATTTGGGAGATATTTACTACAGGAGATTTTTCGCGAGGGCGTATTGGCTTGTTTGTGTTATTTTTCTTAGGTTGCTTACAATAGCAAGCTTGACATTTCCATGCGGCCTTTGTTTCTGCCGACATTATGTTATAGAAGCGTTGTGGGGTTACATTTGCGCAATCTAAATCGTATGTTTTTTTGCAGTATTTACAGGTTAGATGTTCCCGTTTATGAAGTATTTCATTACAACCAGCACAGTTAGTCGACATTATTGCAAAGTATTTCTTCCTAAATAATTATTTTGCCGCCCTCTTGTGGTGTGTGTCGGAGATGGGAAGTAATTTGCGGTTTTTGGTGTCCTGCTTTTTATTCGATGTATAATGTTGAGTTTCGGGTTAATCTAATAGATGGCGCAATAGGATACAAATGTTCGTTCGTAACAGTGTGCGCTTTTACCGATCTCTAACTATCAACCAAAATAGTAATCGATTGTCAACTTGTCACAGTAGGTTTTTGGTGTTATGTGGTTCATGCACGTTTCAATAGATGGCGTTAGTAGTTTTAACCCGGCCTATTGGGAACTTAGCGCTAAGAGTTCAAAGTCCAATGTATTAGAACTTGTATAGCGGTTGAGAAGATAACTGGATTTGAAAATATTCACATAAAAGTATAAAAGTTTCACAATTATTATAGCACAGTTTTTTTTTTCACTTATAACTTTGTTGATTAATGAAGTTTTGTAATGTTTGTTTAATAGTTTTAGAGTTCGGATTACAAATAATTGCACTGGGTATTTCACCGTATTTAGTTCACTTTACATTTAGATAACACTATAAGTTGGATAAAAACACTTGAATTTTATGACAATCATATTTCAATGTTGAAATGTTTGGGTTTACTATTTTTAAAGTTAATTATTCATGGAGCTCAATGTTTTCGTGACGCGCGCGCCAAACGACACCCCCTGCCCCGCCGTTACCATGGTCGCCACCGTAGCCAGGAATAGCGGGGCCGCCAGGGACTGGGGGCCGTCTCTTCGTAACTTTAATCATGGGGGGTATATTGCCATAGTTGCCACGCTTGGCGAGCGGGTTGGCAATCGCAGTTTTTTATTGTATTTTTGCCGTTACCAGGAAGATGCTGCTGCCCATTTTCTGCCTGTTTCCCTTTGTCGCCTTTTACGACACCCACGGGAAGATATGGGGTAGTGGAACTTTAATACCATACCATAAAGTTTAAGTGTTCCGGGAAGGCAAAACAATTGTGTGACGTTAGTATCGTATAAAAGAATCATGGCGCTTGGTTGGTTGTATTGGCTGTAGTTGGCTTCTTGCCTACAGAACATCTGACTTCGAATGAAAGTGTTAACTAAGGTTTTCATAGATCCCCAAATTTCTGGACAATGCGTGTTTATTATTATTTTCTACTTGGGTACGTATGGGTTGTTATGGGCATAGTTCAATTAACTTACAGTAGGTGGCACGCGTATAGTACCGACACATTTGTAAGTTATATATCATTCAACATCAATGAATGCATTGTCATTCCTAATAATATAACTCTTCCCAATTTAAAACGATATTACCACAATTATTTCTTCTGCGGCAGCAACGCGCCGGGTACCAGCTGGTTACTTATATTTGCTTATCATGGACAGATAAGGATGGTACACAATTCTTAAAACATAACATGTTTTGTTATGTGATTGTAAATAGCATATAAATATACATAGATAGTACTACAAATGAAATTTTTCTAAACAAATCTAATCCAATACAACAGAATTATTTTAAAAATTTAAATTAAATAATTATAATGTAATTATTTAATTAAAATTTTTTTTAGATTCTTTTAGATTAATTAATTAAAAAAATATTAGTTACATTTAATAAATAGGTCCCTAATGTCTAAAAATTGTTTTTCATTGTGATAAACCAATATTTTTTTCCTAAATAATTTATTAAGTGATTTTATGTTATTTGGTATTTTATTATAAATTCGAATACATACATACATACACCTAATAATACAAGTATGATGATATCTATTTAAGTGAGTCTTAGTATTACCAAATCTATTGAACTCGTGATTATTTTTATAAAATAATTTAAATATTGATACTCGACTGTAAAATATTTTAAATACCTACATAAATCCATGTTCCATTTTTATAAGAGGAAGCAGCAGTGCTGATAATGATTACAGTGATGACGACTCAGACAGCGACGCAGAGATGGGCGAAATTGAAACGCAAGATTTAGATTAACACTTTCTCGTTCAAGGTTCTTTTGTAAATAAATATTATTTCAAAAATACCTGTTTTGTTTACGCTGCCTAACTGGTTTGAATTGACAGTTATGAAGTCACAATATGGCGCCAGGTAAGTATAATTCTTATTTGGATCAAATTACATAAGAGCCAATAAGAGTCCACTGTTGAACATAGGCCATTCGCATAGATTACATCATATAGGGGATATTTGCCATAGTTGGCACGCTTGGCAAGCGGTTTCCTTCTGTCTCTTCCTCGTTGCCTCGACATGGGACAGTGAATATTCTCAGACACATGGTAATATTTTGACACGCTGTCATTAGTTTTGCGTGTATCTATTTATAATTACAACGGAATATTTTAATGTTATTTTCACAACTTACAGACGGCTTATTGACTTTTTGAAAATTTCCAAGGACATGTACCGATGACAACACAATATTTTAATAATTATGACCCAGTGTTCTCACTAGGATTATCATAGCTCATGACGAATGCGTGTTGTTAAGTTTTCTTAGCCTCTCAATATTATTTAATTACAAAACGCTTTTACTAACTTCGCGTGTAATTTTCAACCGACTTCAAAAAAGAGACGGTACTCAATTAGACTCTATACTTTTTTCTGGGTGAACCGATTTCGATGATTCTTTTTTATTTGAAAGCTGGTGCTCCTCACGTGGTCCCATATAAAGTTGATCTAGGTCTGACCAAAATAGTTTTTGAGTTATTCTTAATAATTTATATTGAAGTCGGTTGTACAACATTTTTAATATTAAATTGTTATAGAATATAAAGGGTAACAAACGAACACACAGTCCACCTGATGGTAAGTGGATACTGTAGTCCATAGACAAGTACATTAATACTCAATTAAGAAATAAAATGCAGATGCGTTGTCACCCCTAAGGACTAAGATGGAATGCCTCGTTTCCAGTAGAAAGCTGCTAAATAACGATGGTATTCTGTGAGAGCGTGCTCCCTACCCCTGTCCGACCTATTCACGCTACAACCATAATATATCTGCAGCTGAATATCAACAATATCAACAGCGTGGCACGAGAAAAAAACCAATAGAAAAAAATGATTCTCAAGTGGCAGCTTTGCACCGGTAAGTGGAGTTTAGTGGTAGGTCTTTACTATATGTAAACTATGCAGGAAGTTGATGAAGGCAGAAGAAAAGTGTTCGTGAATGCTCAGAAGGGCATTAGTGATAATGATGCTGTTATGATCATTGATAGTGACGACGACGATGATGACGTAGAGGACGATTACTCAATCACTCAAGTAATTGAAGTGAGTAATTGAATCAGACGATGACGAGCATGGCGATGATCATGACGATTATCATTATTATAATCATGACTCCCCATCTGACTAGTGTCCGCGAGATATATCCGATAATCGGTTCTTAAGTGGTAAACTCGAATAAAAAATACATACATTTTTCTATTTTATGAAGCAGTCAAATAAATGCCATCAAAAACATAACTTGTAAAAAAGCCAAGTCTCGCAACTCAGTTCTTCTACCGTAAAAAGTTGTGAGATAAGGGTCTTTCTGTGTTAAGTTATTACGTAATTAGCTAATCTAAAAACATCTTATAGTGACCACATCAATACTAAAAATCTTTTATATTTTAAATAAATAGAATGACTTGGCCATCGCATGTAAACACAATGTATCTCTCAAGTAATACATATTATATTAAATTAGATTGTTTAGTGCGATTGCCAAGTCAATTTATTTATTAAAACAAAAGATTTTTGATATTGATATGGTCACTGTAAGATGCTGTTAGGTTAGCTAATTACGTAATAACTTAAAGCAGAAGAACCCTCAAGTAGGGACTGAATAAATTAACCGACTTGGTATTACACGTATCTCACAACTTTTTACAGTAGAAGAACTGAGTTGCGAGACTTGGCTTTTTTACAAGTTATGTTTTTGATTTCTTTTTGTAGATAGTTATATCTAGGTACCTATATACACCTATTATTCCATTATATTATACATATATAGGTACACTGATTCATTTACTGCAAATCATCATCATTATGATCATTACAGCCCTTCACAAGTCCACTGCTGAACATAGGCCTCCCCCATAGAATGCCACAAAGCACGGTCCTGAGCCACCTGCATCCATCGACTTCCTGCATATCTTAACAGGTCGTCACTCCATCTAGTGGGGGGACGCCCTACACTTCGCCTGCAGGTACGAGGCTGCCACTCGAGTACCTTTCTTCCCCATCGGTTGTCGGTTCTTCGAGCTATATGGCCGACCCATTGCCACTTCAGCTTACTAATTCGTTGGGCTATGTCGGTCACTCTGGTTCTACTGCGGATATTCTCATTTCTGAGTTTATCACGCAGAGAAACTTCGAGCATAGCCCTCTCCATAGCTCGCTGAGCGACCTTGAGCTTCCTCATCCGGCCAGCAGTGAAGGACCACGTCTCAGTTCCGTATGTCATCACTGGCAACACGCACTGGGTGTACAGTCTCGTTTTCAAGTTTTGAGGTATACCTGACGAGAAGATGTGCCGTAATTTCCCGAACGCTGCCCAACTGAGTTGAATCCGTCGATTGCCCTCTCGGTCGAAGTTGGACTTACCTAGTCGGACTATTTGTCCCAGGTAAACATACTCGTCAACAACTTCGTGCTTAGTGTTCCCAACAACTACCGGCATAGGTGTGACATGGACATTAAACATGATCTTTGTTTTGTCCATGTTCATCTTAAGACCTATCCAATGGGAAACACTATTGAGGTCATTGAGCATAGTGCTTAGGTCCTCCAGCGATTCTGCCATAAGGACTATATCGTCGGCAAATCGAAGATGAGTGATGTACTCGCCATTGATGTTGATACCGTATCCTTTCCAGTCCAGAAGCTTGAAAACATCTTCCAATGCAGCGATAAAGAGTTTCGGGGATATGACGTCACCCTGTCTTACACCTCTCTGCAGTTGGATAGATTTCGTACTCTGGTTCTGTACTCA